AAAAAAAACTTATCGCAATACACTTGTCATTTATTGAGGCTGACATCTGGGCATACCTTTTGATGTTGCCTGGTTATTACTCAATTTCTTTCTCCACGAGTTATTGCACTCAGTTTGGTTTCTTCATACCTTACCTGAGCCAAGAGGAGAAAGAAGATCAATGGTTTTGTAAAAAGCCACTCTTTTGCATCTCTGTTGCCTTGAGTGGAAGAGAACTCTGCAACATTTTTCCAAAGTCTTTCTCTTTCAGGTATTTTAGCCACCCATATGGCAATTTATTGTTTTGAAAAATTATGGTTTATTTAGCATGTGAAGCTTGTCAAGAGTGAATGTATACAGGGTATTGGTGCACCATACATGCGTTCATTCCCTGTGCATACATTATTGTCTGGTGAGCATCTACTGCATTTGCCATTACAGTCTTTATGCCCATGTTGAGGTGACCCAGCTTACTTTTCTGGTCTTGGCATAATTTGGTAAAGACTGAAATAACTCATCTAACTGAAATTTTCTGTTTAATAATTCTGCTTTGTAGGGGAAGTTAGTTGGAAGAGGAATCGATGAGCAACTTCCTACCATTGCCATTGTCACCCACTATGATGCTTTCGGGATTGCACCGGTAAGGTCATACATGTATGGCGTAGGTTGATAATGGCTGACTGCTCGCATACATGAATGAGATAAAATGAAAACTTTGACTACCAGAGACAGTTACAGTTAAACCTCCATTATTATGAGGTGCTGGCAAACAACTGCTCTATAGAGGGTGGCTGCTCGTTATCAATAGAGGTGTGTCCTAAATTAGCATAATCAAACAGGGACAGAAGTGGCATAACTGGTCCAAAAACAGTCACCACCTATAATTTTGGCTTGTATTTTTCTTCATCATATTTTAAAAGTAATTAAAAGTACCTGATTGGCTGTTTTATAGAGATGACAAAAATTGAGAAACTCTTGTTGGGATGTCCAAAAGATGGCCACAGCTGCTCACCCTAGGTTTAGAGGTTTCATTTACAATATTCTTTCTTTGACAATTATTATTTCAGGAATTTAATTTCTGGCCGTTTAATAGAGGGTGACTACTTAATGGAGGTTCAACTACATTTACAAATATTTAAACAAAATGGTTTTTCTTTGTGCTATCAGTCATGGCCAGTGAGTAAAGGCCATTCTACTATATTAATTTGTACTTTTGTAGAGTCTGTCTTTTGGGGCTGATGACAATGGAAGTGGTGTTGTTGCCCTTCTAGAACTGGCAAGATTATTTTCAAGGTAGGAATGAGTTTGAATGAATTTTTTGCATGCTGTAGTTATAAGTATTGCTATTTATGATGAGGTTCAACTCTGTTTACGGAGGATCTCCTCTTGCCCACGTATTGCATTCCCTTTCTTCATGAATCACACTCAGTTTGGTTTATGCATACCTAACCTGAGCCGAGAAGAGAAAGGAGATTGACAGCTTTGTTAGAAGCCACCTGTATGCATCTCTGTTGCTTTGAGTGGAAGAGAACTCTGCAACATTTTTCCACAGTCTCTCTTAGATAATAATATACATGTAATATTATGCTCTACTGCATAATTTGTACCAAGAGCATGCAGTGTGTTTTGTTAGTGCAACAGTGAGTGAACTAATTATCTGCTCAGACACAATGTATGCAATGCAGGGCTAGCTGCCCTTCACCACCACTAATTTTCCTTGAAGTGAAATATAATATTTATTTCTTTAATGCATCTGTTGTGTCTGTTTTCAGGTTATACTCAGACTCTAGAATGCAAGCAAGGTATCCTTATTATTTTAGGAGACACATGTTTAATTATTTATTTGCTGATTAAGTATACATGTACATAATTATAAAAATGTATGAATAAGATAGAAAAGTAATAGGACGCAAAGCTGCCTACAAGGTTAATCCACCCAAAACCAACCCCCTAGAACTTAAAAAGAGAAAACTACATGTATCTTACCAACCCCTTATTCCAAGTCAAGGAAAAACAAAACAAAAAACACCTAAGTACGCTGTATTAAGTCAAAGCTAGAATAGTAACAATATTGAGGTGTAAGGCTTGAATTACATGTATTTGAAAAATGTATCCATAAATCAAACTTAACAGGAGCACTTTGCTAAAGGGTATAAGCATTTTGGGCAAACAGTCTTGTGTGATAATGTTTCTGTCTTTGAATTAGCAATACATGTTTTTTTAGCAAGTTCCTTCCAATTATATCTTAACATTATTTTGCTATATTATTTCTTGTGCATGTAAATAAGTTAAACTTCAAGTTATTTCCATTTGAATAATGTAAGTTGCATCAGTGTGGCCAATAGACTTCAGACATTTGTTTACCATAGTACAGACTTGTTGTATTGCTGTCATAGTTGGGCATTTTGTTTAAATACATGTACCGAGTTGTTAATAAGTAGTTTCCCTATAAAAAGTTTGTTTTGTCATTGTACATCATTAGGCTAACTAATTCAAAAAATTTTCTTTGTTGACTGCCTTA